CAAATTTCCGATTAAAATGAAACTTTTTTGGTGATAATAGTTTGAAAAATATCAGAAACGTGTCCACGGTTTCTTTCAAATAAAAAAAAAATAAATAAATAAAATAAGAGAAAAAAAAAACAATTTCATACACTTTTTAATCTAAGATAATTTTTAGATTGTCGTTTTTTATTGTTTATCTGATTTTTAAGGTATGAAATTATATATATATATATATATTTATATATTTTTTTTTTTTTTTTTTTTTTTTTTTTTTTTTTTTTTTTTTTTTTTTTTTTTTTTTTTTTTTTTGGAGGATGAAAATTAAAGATTACAGAGTCATTTAAATGATTCCTTATTACAAGAAATTATAATATTGTTCTTGCAGTGCTGCAGGATTTAATTTGGAGAAGGCAGAGTCTATATAAAATAATATTCTAGTGATCATTGAAAATATGTCAAAAAATTATATATATAATTTTAAAAAAAAAGTAAAAAAGTAAAAAAAGTGTTTACGGGAACAATTATGCTTTTAGGGATAATTTAATATATATCTTTTCTTTGCACGTGCTTATTTTAGTAGGTGAAATACATGCGTTATAATTTAAAAATATTACATATTTTTTATATTTCAGTATTAGGTCAGATCCCTCATGTATATAAATATAGATCAACGAAAAAAAAAAAAATCCTTTTTGTGGGACTTTATCCCGAAAGCATTCTCTTCCCTTTTCCCCACTTCTGTGGAAGCTTCGTGTAAAGTAATAACAAATAAATAATTTAATAATTAGAGAAAATAAACTCAAATTCGTTTTTAGCATCTTTTAAGACCAATGAACTTATATGGAACTTTCTTAAAAAGTGCCATTTTAACAGTTTACGTAAAAAATTTAGGAAAAAAGTTCTTCAAATGATAGAAAATTTATTTCAGATTTTTGTTCTTTTTTTTTGGAATGAAATCCTATGTTTATAGTTAAAGTTTAACATTTATTTATTCACAGCTCCTTACTTTGTCACAAACAAAATCATCCATAACGACCTTAATGTTCCTTATGTTTCTGACCTGGCCCAATCCAGATACCTTTCCTTCCATAATAAACTTCAGAACCATCCTAACCCTCTCGTTTCTAACCTTGCTTCCTTTTCGATACCTGACAACCCTCCGAGGCGTCTGAAAAGAAGATGGCCTCGAGATCTCCTTTTGTAAATACATTTTTAGAGTGCTACCAGTGGGTAGTTTCTCACCAAATGATTTCATGTTATTATATTCTATTGTACACATTTAATGAATGTATTTTTACTTGTAATACAGTTGTAAATATCATTAATAAATAAATAAAAAAAACAAAAAAAAAAAACATTTATTTATTAAAGTTTAAAAAAAGTTCAGCTAAAAGAGAAATAAATAGTAATTGTTTTTAGTTGTTGTTATTAATTAGAGGCTTAAAACTCCGAGGTCATTAACGCTAATCTGATCTTCATTTCAATAATTTCAACAAGTAATCATCACGCAAAAATAAAAAAAAAATAAAGAAAAAGCTCAACTTTAAATTTTGTTTAACAAGTCGTTAGCTTTAAGAAAATCTATTATTTAGTTTAGTTTAGAGTTATCAATTATTTTAAATGAACTGAATAATTTTTAGAATCAATTTCGTGTAAGAGTTTTCTGGAAAGACGAAAATTTGTTTGTTCCAAACAGAATTTTTTTAAGGAAGGGAGGGGGAGAAGATTATTCTGAGTGAATAGTAAAGTCATATCTGACTTAACTGTCTTTTAAAGAAATTGTTTCTAGTAACGATAATCTAGTGCAACACAATAGAATAAGGAAAGTATAAATATAAAAAGTTGAGATGATTTATATTGCTACGTTTAATATTATTATATGTGTCATAAAAATAATAATAATGCGAACGAAGATTAGATAACGGGTGTTGAAAAGGTTCGTGTCGTTAATAAATAGTGTGAGTAAATAGATACAATCAATTCATTCATTACTATCTTATTAATCGAAAGTTTTAAGGCCTCACGTGCATGTGATAATGAAAGTTTTCTTTTTTTTAACGCTCTATAAAATCTTTATTTATTGCTTAGATTTTATGATGGCTGGAAACATATTTAGCTTTGAGACTGAAACTATTGAAGCCGGGGCTTTGACGTCAGAGCTCTGGGATCAATATTATAGATCAGGCTGCCCTATGACGTGTTGCGAATAGTTCTCGCTTCTTCCGAACAATCGGATAAAAACATACATACAACAGGGAGATAAAAACATATGTAAAAGCCTAGAACGTGGATTCGTGTAGTTTGGAATCTCAGAGTAATTAGCATTACAGATAATACAGCATAAGACAAAAGACTAATATAGCTTCGGAGATGGAAGTATTTAAAAAAATCTGCCATATAATGGTTTCAAACACTATTCTGATTTATCTCACTATTAATTTCAGCTACTAAATAGAAGTACATGCAAAAAAAAATTGTTCCTGCACAATTTTTTTTTTTTAACAGGCCTTCAAGTACCAACTTATTTTATGTTATTTATATATTTTTCTTCCAGGGTAAGTACCGTTATTCCAAAAAAAAATCAAGCCACCTAAAACATTCGCTAAAAAGGACGCTGAAGGTTTAACGACGCAAAATGTAGCAAAAAAAATTGAAAATGTGTGTGACAATGTTTGTGGGACCTAGCGTTGTGTTGGTGGAACAAAAAATCCCTTCCGATCATTCATTACTCCTCAGGATGTTCTTCAAATTCGATGTTACTATATCCGTTGGAAAGCTGAATTATTGCTCTTTAAAGACATATGAATGTTTTTTTAAATTTTATTTAATACCTAAATAAGGAATAAATAAACAAAAACTCCTTATAGGTTTTCATTTTTTTTATCTCCATTTGTAGTTTGTAAGGTCCTGTTGATGTCATTTTGTGTAGTTTATGTGGCCCTAAATTCCTGCTAAATTTCATCCGAGGGACCCAAACATTAAGCCTAGAAACATTGCCAAGCTTGTGCAAATGGTTTTCTACGCTTGTGTGAGACACATTTAGTGCCATAACAATCTCTCACACTGTTTGGATGTGATTTTGATCAACAATGGCCTTAACATTGCTCGTTTCAATTTCATGTGGCCAACCAGACCGTTGAGCATCATTGATGTCAAAATTTCCTGAATGAAATTTTGCAAACCAATTTTGATAGATGCGTTCGGTTAAGGCATCATCTCCATAAAAACTTCAAATTTTTCTATGAGCTTTTGCAGCACGCTTACCTTTTTTAAAATATGCCGATAATGAATGATGTTTTCTTCCATATTCACAATGCAATGGCTAACACAATATTAACCTACTTTTAACAAGATTTAACATATATAGTTGTTGACATATTACAAACAGGATAAACAATCCACCTTAGGGATTAATTCATCAGATAAGAAGTGCATCATAATAATATAAAAATAAACAGAAAACCGAAAGGATTTATTGGTCAATTCAATACAAAGCGGGACGGACCGCAACGAAGAGACCACACTCCTTATTCCCAGAATTATTTCTCCCTTATTATGGTTACAAATTGGCAATAAGAATAAGTATAATTATATAATGATATAAATTGGCGATAAGGCGCGATCTATAATATAGATTTTTAGAGAAATTAAAAATTTTTGCCTGTGGTTTCGTTCCGTTTATTTGATGTTGATAAAAAATAATACAATCTCGACTACAGAATACATGTAAATTACAGTTATAAAATTTGAGAAACGATTAGTACAATTAAATGAATAGTTGTATAATTTGTAAGATGGGGATTGGTCCGCGGTTAGGTCAAGAGGGGGTATTCCCCTAGTGAAATACAAAAAAAAAAAAAAAAAATTATGTAAAGTTTTAACATACAGTTATTTGAAATATGATATTGAAGGAAACTTGATGTTTTAGAGAATTCTAAATTTTATAAGACACTATAAAAGCAATAAAATTAAACTTCTCCGACCTTTTCCTCAGTTTTACAAATCAAAGTCGTGGAATGCAATATAAAAACTACGGAGTCCGTTAGTTCAAATTGCAGATGAGGATTCCATTCTAAGCACTAAATTCTACATTAGAGATGAACAAATGCTGCTATTTTTTATTTTAAGTATTTTACTCAAATTGAATAACTATTGGGAATTCAATAACAAATTCAATTTGAGTAAAATACTTGCTACTCAGTACTCAGAGTAGCCCATCTCTGCTCTACAGTTATTAAAGTAATCGAATAAATGCGATACCAAGACTAGGTCCTAGGTCTTGGTCTAGCGCAAGACTCTCGTAATAGTCTTCCAGTTAGCTTATTACTTAGCTTATTACTAGAGAGATATTACTGTAACTTTTTTTATAGGAGAAAACTAATTAAGTCTGAATGAAAAATTAGAAGAGTTAAATGCAAAAGTATACTGGTTAAACCAATAGTAACTAAAATTGTCAAGTATTAGTAACTATTTGGCCTCAATTTCAATTTAAAAAAATCGATTTTTTTTTACCAGTGTTGAACTTAGCGTTGCAACAAAGTGTTGAACTTGTGTTGGTCTTGGTCTTGTAAAGTGTAAGACCAAGACCGAAGCAAATTTAAGATATATAACATAACGGTAACTAGTTACGAAACTATGAATAAAATAAGAACAGTAACCGAGAACTATGAAATAAATAATAACCGCAAAAACGTTATTGGCTAATGAAATAAACATAATGAAATAAGGTACATAAGAATTTATTTATTTTTACATGTTTTTGACTGAACAACCAATCTTTTCTCCAATCGAATTAATGTCTGGAATTTGTACTCAGTTATAATAAAAAATAGCAACACAAAAATAAAAAAAAAAATTTGCTTTATCAATGTCTCACCTTGCTGCGGGCTCTCAAAAGATCCCAAACTGTGGTTTATGGTATGAGATATAGGAATACGTAAAGGGTGAGAATACCTAAATTAATACTAAAGAAATACTTATGTTATTTATTTATGTATGTATTTATATTAAAATTGCAGCATGGAACGAAACAGACTACCACGGAGCTTGGCCATTGACCTCAGCAGAGACGAGCATGATCCTGCCCATGGTTCTTCAGTACCTCACCCCTGACTTCGTTTCCTTCTTTGGCCTCGGAGCTGTCTCCGCCGCGGTTATGTCTTCCGCCGACTCCAGCGTCCTCTCGGCATCCTCCATGTTCGCCAGGAACGTCTACAAGCTCATCTTCAGGCAGAGGGTTAGTATGCGAAACCTTACCCGCGCTGTGGAAAGTCTCTGACTCACTCTCGGCCATAGCTATGCTAATGCCCCATTCACGAGCTAAACATAGGATAATGGCCGTGGGAACTGTTACATAATTTTGAATAATGATGCCATAAAATCTCATTTCCTCGAATGTAATCCACCTTTCATGAATAATTAACAAGATTTAAAAGAGATTTATAGAAAATAAAACTCTCAACTGAACTGTTAATTCTGTGAGTTTGAGTCCCGCTGTATTATTACTAGCACGTATTTTCTCTACTAATTACCAAAATAAATCCTATCAAATCACGTCTATATTTCATCTTAGGACTTCATGTCCTATAGTATTTAATAATACTCCAGTTATCCCTGTTGACCAATCGCTACCTAGGACTCCATTTGGACTAACGTCATTTTTGGAATGCTTGGATAACAAGACTGAATCAACAAGAAAAAGCTTATTTACTTGACTATGAAATTCTCAGAAATGACGTATTTTCTCATTAATCAATCAATTATAGTTATCAATTAATTAATCAACCTTATAATTTAATTAAAACTCAAAAATACTCATTTGTTTTCTACTTGAATCGTGACATAATTTAATCACAAATTCAAATAATGGTGGCTTACAAATATATTTGGATGTATGGTCTATGTAACCTCGTTATTTTGACATGTTGGGGTACGGACGGCCCTATATTTTTTTCTCGATTTTGTTATAAAATTATCTTACGATTCATTTGGAAAGCAAATGGGTGTTCATGAGTATTTAGTATTTAATTAAATATACAAAGTTTGCCGAGCTCCAGATTAAAAACTTCCCAATTCCGAGAGTTTTCGTAATTAAAAACGTTGCAAGTTACGATGAGATAAAGCTATTCACGATTATTAATAATTTGATAAAAAGAGATCTATTGGTATAAAGAGATACCACGGATTATTATGTCTATTTGAACTTGAGTTTAGGACCACTAAACCATCAAATACCTCCCTTATACAATCTTTATATTCCAAAATCCATCACGAAAATCAGAATGCTCTCTAAATTGTGACAAATAAAATAATCTGTAATTAAATTAACGACTGGGTGAGAGAGAAAAAGGAAAGATATGTATCTGCTGGAAGCTGGAAACACTATTCTAAGCAACTCTGACGCAACCATGTCTCTATTTTCGGGACGTAGCCGCGCCCGTCCCCACTTTTCTTTAACGCTATTTATCTTTGCAAATATGGATCGGGAAAATTCGGTAGTTTTGTCGATATAATCAAATCTTTATTCAAGTACTCGATTTGAACTGTACATTTATTTATTTATTTATTCTTTTCTATTTGGTTAAAGTGAGACATATTTATTTGATCTTATATTACCCATCCTTGATTATGACTGAATCAGTCTACTAATTACCTTTGGTTAGTAATTCACTAATATTTGAAATACTAGATGCTTTCATATTGGAATCATCCAGCAATCATCTGATGACTATTTAGTAAGTATAACTTAAATAAACAAATTGTTTAACATGTATACACCCCTTTAATATTCAAAATTACATCTGCGTTGAGCCCGTTCAATTTACATACTGATGAGAGGATCGCCATTGGATATCAGGGCACGATTGCCTCGGATTAACGGGTTGAATATCCGACACGTGTTTGAATTCACTACTGCCGTATTCAATTATGGTGTCTCGAATAATAGTAATTTACATCTTACAGTAGTTAAAATCAGCATAGAAGGTGCTTTCAGTCAAAAACGTCATTACATAAATTAGTAAAAACTCACCAGGAAACAGAAAATCGATGTTAGTCAATAATTCTAACCACACAGCCTTCTCTCTGAAATACAGGTAAAGGATAAAATAACCCGTCACCATTTCGTCATTCCAGGCATCATCAGGACAGAAAATAAAATAAATTTCAAGATAATGTCATCCAATGAAAAAAAAGGAAACATAAGCAGAGGAAGGTTTTAATTAAACAGCTGATTAGCCAACAAAGACAGAAGAATTACATGTAATTATTGACCCAAATTCATAAATATGATAAAAGAATGAAATACTAATCAGAAAATGAAAAAATAAATGAACAATAAAGGGGAGGTTATTATGAAACACAACTGATCAGGCTGACAGTATGCGATTGGGTGCCATGTAATAACGTGATGTTGGGTTTCTTTTGATGATGTCTGAATCGGTGAAACGGTGATAGATTATTTTATTCCTTCATTTTAAAGACACAAGGCTGTTTGATTGGAATTTTAAATGTTTAATAACATTAACAACTTTTTATTGAGGAAGGAGATTGCCTGGAGGGTCGGCCATAAAAAACAACAACCAAAAAGAGTAAAAAATTATTTTCCGATCAGCCTAACAGAAATGTTGTTTGGCTTGGTCACTAGTTGTTTGGAGAGGTAGTCCCAGGAAGCTCCTGATTTGAGTGGATGAGAGTATTTGTGTATTATATTGTAAAGTGTTTGAAGAGAAATGAATTCAGTGCCACAAAGGAAGAAACAGACTATATAGAAAAAAAAACCTGAAGAAGACCTGCAAACGTTGGCTTGAAATAAAATATTTTTTTCACTATTTTAATCTTTTTATGACCGTCACTCAGGATCACCTTCCTCAAAAATATACAACCATCGACTATTCAAAAACATTTTATCTTTAAATTTTGACAGCGATAAAGGAACCTTTAATTCATACTTTTTATTTATTAATATTAACAGGTTCTGCCTATATATATATATATATATATATATATATATAATATATATATTATTATAAATATATATATATATATTTAATTAATAATATTGTTGATAATTATCAATGTGTTATTTATTCGCTTTTCCTTTCAATAGTAGACAGAACCTGTTAATATTAATAAATAAAAAGTATGAATTAAAGGTTCCTTTATCGCTGTCAAAATTTAAAGATATATATATATATATATATATATATATATATATATATATATATATATATATATTTAGTGGCAACTTAATTTTTAATTTTTATTTTACAGGCTTCAGAGATGGAAATAATCTGGGTTATGAGGATATCAATATTTGTCGTCGGAATTTTAGCTACAATCATGGCGTTGACTATTCCTTCCATTTATGGATTGTGGTAAGTGCATGCTTAATTCATTATTTCACAGTAGAAAACTAGAAAATCATAACATGCTTTTATACATATATTTACCTCTTTCTTTTTTTTTGCAATTTAACTCTTAAATAGAGTGTGATCAAAAGTTAATTTCTCAACAATTTTAATTATGTAATTATATAATAGATTACATTTTACATTAATTTTTTTCCAATAGAGTTGCACATATAATTTATTTATTTATTAACCAAACTAAAATGTAGAACATTAGATGAAATTTGCAATCTGCAAATTTTTTGGCAATCAGCAATTTTTTTGGCAACTTCACAGCTTCCCATCACGTCCGGGGTGTAAATTAGATCAACAGGTCTCTTGGCCAACGCCTATGTAATCGTCTTAGTGGGTTTCTCGTACGATGAAGGATCTCTGTCAGCGGAATCATGTCAGTGTTTGGTGAATTTTAATAAAATAATATTAACTAAATCTAAAAAGTATTTGAATTGAATACTTAACAGTTGACCGTTATATTATTACGAAAGGAGATGGTCCGGGTGGCGGTCATAAATAGACTAAATAGTGGCAAAACTATTTAGTCTATTTACGACCGCCACCCCGACCATCTCCTTCCTTAAGATGTGTTTGCTTTAGCATTATTTGAAGTACATTTTGTTGCTGTTCTTTTCTACATATATATTTATTTTTTTTTTTTTTGCCATTACAAATCTTGTACAAATCTTTGCCGCCTTAAGCAGCCTTCTTCTATCTTCGACTATTGCTTTCCAGTTATGTGCATGAAACTCTACAGAATCTTTGTTGATTTGATTTATAAATCTGTTTTTTTCCTCCAACGTGATCACTTGCCTACTAATGAGACATTCATTGTTGTGTAGAGGTTTTCTGATGGATTGCTCAATCAACTGTAACTACATGCCTAGCCCATTTTAAACTCCTTGTTATAATATCATGAAACTTTTGTAACATATACATATTTTTTGTTACATCTAATATCTTTATGTATTAAAATATTCATTACAAGACCGGTGATGATACAGGTCGATGTGCTCTGACCTGGTCTACGTGATCCTCTTTCCCCAACTGCTGATGGTTGTCCACTTCAAAGACTACTGCAACACCTACGGGAGCCTCTCTGCCTACATCATCGCCCTGGTCGTCCGGATCTCCGGAGGCGAACCTCTGCTTAGCCTTCCTGCGCTGATCAAGTACCCGGGCTGGGACGAGGGTGAGCAGCGGCAGCTCTTCCCTTTCAGGACAATGGCCATGCTCATCTCTCTCTTCACACTTGCTGGAGTCTCCTGGGGTACCAAGTAAGTCCATACCATAATTATTTAATCTTTAGTTTTGAAACTTAGTATTTTATTCCCAACAGTTCTACACCTTGAATAGACGACATGTATTTTGTTACAACATACTAACACAAGTTGTACATAATTCATAGCTTCGGATACAAAATTATGAAATTGCATAATAAGATCTCAAAGAGAAGATAGAGGGAAAATAAATGAAAAAAATAGTTAAGGAACAATTTTTTGTAGAAACTTGGCGTTTCTCAAGGTCCTGATCTCACTCCTACTTTGTTTAAGATTTTTAAAGTATTTAAAATGTTTGATAAATTGCTTTATACGATTCATCTTCGAAATCTCAAGGATCGCCTATGCCTTTAGTTTTTATGAAGAGTTGAAATGGTATGAGTCCTCTTACAGTCGTATTTCTTGGCATACGACCAAGTCATTCATCTCGCCTTCCCTCAAACATCTCCGTGCTTCTTCAATTCGAATCTTCTGTTCATCCTCTCACAATAGCCATTCTTCGTTGTCAGATTTATATATACGGACCTAACCAACCGCTGCTTTCGATAGATAGTTCATTATCCGATCCTCATCCCAATGGAACTCCATCCCTTCCCACATCCGTCTATCCAATACCCTTCCCACCTTTAAATCCCGCCTGTTCAATAATTTCTTATCCGTCCAGTCCCCATAAAATTGTAAATAGATACTACTGTAAATATGTATATAAATTATTAGTTCGTTCTTCATTATTTTTATTTCATATTTTTTTTCAATTTTTATTTTTATTATTAACTGATTAAAATTTGAAAATGGCTTACATATTTTTTTTACTTTGACTATTTAATTACTCTGAATTTTTGTTTACGTATCTCTGAGGCTCTTTAGCCCATATTTCTATCTTGCTGTATTATTCTCAGAATAAATAAAGTATTATTATTATTCGATAATCGTCCATATGGAACTCCACGTTATCACATAGTTCATTCGTCGCTTCTATACTCTCTCCACCTTTCAATCCCACTTATTCAATAATTTCTATCTACCCAGTTCCTAAAAATGTAAATAGGCGTTTCTGTAAATATATATGTAATTATTAGTTCGGTTTTAATTATTATTAGTTTACTCTTTTTTAAATTTATTTATCGGTTGCCATGGGGAAATTTCCCTTAGGGTACTTACCTAGGTTTTCCAGTTCTAACTGAAACTCCTTGCTGAACATACCTGTAAGTCTCTACTTTTATTCTTCTAATTTTATTTACGTATTTATGTAGTTTTTGTTTTTCTTTTCTTTTATATCCTTTTATGTCCATTATTTCATATTGTATCGTTTTTCATTTTCTTCCAATGTCTCCTGTAGATCTTTAGGAGTATATTCACAATTGCATATATTATATTATATACTATACTACAACAATTGTTACCATCAATTTACTTCAGTTTAGGATCTTGTTTATATATCTTATTTTTCTTAATATTTTAATACTAAGTAGTTAATGTTTATAAGTTTATTCACATTGTTTATAATTTTTTATTTAAATATTATGTAACTTCCCCAATTCTCTTTATATTTTTGTATCTTGTCCGTTCTAGCCCTGAAGGAGACCTGCACAGTCAGGTCGAAACGTTGGCTTTTAATAAAATAGTTATGCCACTATTTAGTCTATTTATGACCGCCACGCCGAACCATCTCCTTCTTCAAGACAATACTGATTTGGTGAAAGTGGACCAGCCCAGTAGGTTTGTAGTGGTATTTAGTAGGCTACCCTTGGACCGGCGACCATCCATTCAGAGCTTCCAGCCCATTGTGGTCACTGCCAAAAAAGAACAAGAGGTTTAACTACTTCCCTTCTGCCTCAATTTTCCAACAATTATCTTGGGACGTGTTGGGACTGGATTGCTACCGCTGGATGTCTGAACTAGCTAAAAGGTCATTTAAAATTCCCCACGTTAGTGTGGTCTTGCAAGTTATGTAATCTATGGAACCCTACCACCCGTATGCTTAAGTTTATGAATTTTTTAAAAAACAAAGTAGTCCGTGGTACAGACCTCTTTTTATCACATTATCAACATCTGGTTGAAACTTCGTAAATAACTTCTCATCGTAACCTACAAATATTTTATTTACATAAATGCTTGGAATCGGGGCGTTTTCAATCTATTGAATAAGGTAATAAAAACTCGTAAATACCCATTTGCTTTTCGCTTAAATCATAAGAGAATTTGATGAAATGATCGATAAATGAGGTGGCCTACAAAAATATTGGGCCATTTTGGCTTTGTAACCTCGTTATTTTGACAATTTAGGAGTGTAGGTCACGTTAAACGGCTCAATATTTTTCAAGGCCATCTTTTTTCCCGACTCTGTGCTTAAATTATCTTACGATTCAAATTTAAATCAAATGGGTATTTAGGAGTTTTTAGTCCCTAATTAAATAGACAAAGTTTGCCAACCTCCAGATTGGAAACGCCCCAATTCCGAGAATTTTTGTAAATAAAATATTTGTAGGTTACGACGAGATTAATCTATTTACGAAGTATCCAGCGGATGTTAATAATTCGATAAAAAAAGGGTCTGTACCACGGACTAAGGTACGTCTAGTCCAGTGACAGAAGACACGTCGAATTATCAATATCGAGTTGAAAAGTTTTAGAGATATTTACAATACTAAGTGCTACAAGAATAGACTCCAGCTGAAAAACGTTTCTCAATTCACTATTTGAAATCTTCAGAGCTTTCGTTTAGCTCAATTTTTATGTAGTTGATCCTAAGTTTTGCAGTACGCAAATTAAGTAATTATTTAGGGACAATTGTATCCAATTTCGAATTATCTCCTAATATTGTTTTTCCTTTGTCGGGATATGAAGAATATTCAATTTTTAAGTTATTAATAGGCACATGCGTATAATTTGGATATTATATGTCAGTAGTGGTAATATGCTATGGAAATAAGTAAATGAAATGTATTACAAAACATAAAAATCAGCCCAATATTTATCATATAACTTTTCCAAGTAATCGAAAACTACACATCTGCTGTTATATTTCAGTTGTTAGTCCCAAAGATATTTAAATTGAGTAACAGAGCTTTCCTGAAAAATAGAAAACAAAAATAAACGTGCAAAAAATATTATTCTAGATGACCTATGGAAATCAGAACTATTTCCTTCGTTCACCGTTTCGATTGATTTTTAGTTGTCGAAGACTATAGTAATATAGTAATATTTTGATTTTTTTTTTTTAAGTGAAAACGTCTTTACGCACGTTTTGCACTTTTTTGTGGAGACTGAATAAGATTGAGCCGTCAGATTTCCGAGGTACAATGCTCGGATAAAGTCGGCTGGAATCGACTAATTGAAATGTTTTCGCATTTGGAATAAAATATCCCAAAAACTAAAAATTGGACATGCATATTGTTTGCAAGGAAAATGTTCATCATTTCATGCTCTCTGCAATGAGCTATTATTCAAAATTGTATGTTAAGGCGAAGCTGTGTTAGAGAAGCGAAAAGGGAAAAGTAGTTTCGAAAACCAAATTATAACGAATTTTATTGAACATATGAATTAAAATATTCCAAGAACTAAAAATCGGACCTGCATACTGTAAGCGAGGGAATTGCTCAGCATCTGTTTATATGAGGAGTTGGTCGAGGGGGGTGGGGGTGCGGTGAAATATATACTAAATTTTTAAAAAATAGTATTTTTAATTGTTACGCCGACTCTTCGACCCACCTTGCAGGTCTTCATCAGGGCTACAAAAGATACAAAATATAAAAGGTACATGGTGAAAATAAAATAAAAGAATTATAAGTAGATTTTAAATAAGAAACAGTTGTCTTATTAAGAAATAATAAGATGACATCAGAGATGTAGTGGGTGACTGCAGTTAAAATATCAAGTATTATATATATATATAGAAGATACAAACAAAAATAGAAAATAAATTTTGTTTTCTATTTTCGTTTGTATCTTCTGTATATATAATACTAGATATTATAACTACACTGTCACCCACTATATCTCTGACGTCATCTTATTATTTCTTTATCAGACAACTGTTTCTTATTTAATATCTACTTTTAATTCTTGTATTTTATTTTCACCTTGTACTTTTTATATCTTGTGTATTTTGCAGCCCTGATGAAGAACTGCAAGGTGGTCGAAACGTCAGCGTGACAATTAAAAATAATATTTTTTAAAAAATTAGTATTTATTTGACCGCACTCCCCGACCAACTCCTTCTCATATCACGGTCAACCATCTCTACATCATTATTTCTCTATTTATAATTTATATTTCATATTATTAATCTCGCCATGTTGATGTTTTCACTTCTATCCTATGGTTTAAAGCACACACCTTAGTTGTTTTTTTTAATCTAAATAAGTCTCCTATAGCTATCCTGGCACCTAGATGGCTTTCGGAATGAATTTCGGTTAACCTCGAAAACGTTACATGTTGGGCTTTAAAACGCAGGGCCCTAATCGGGTCTGAACTCCAACTCTAAATCTTTAAAATCTAATTTGTCCCATTTCAATCCATCATATTAACAACGGTGGAGGTTTGAAAACTCCTACATTTCTCAATGACTTTTAATAAAGTTTTGCGAGATTAATGAATGAAATTCGTCACATTGTCATTAAATTACCTTTCGTTTGATACCTTTCAATTCAACAAATTCCATAGCTCTTGAAAGCGGGAAAAGGTGAGATAGACGAATGCTACAGCTACATTGAGTATTGATTACCAAGTCCTTTACTCAAACACTGACTTTTTTTTTTTTTTTTTGAGTACCAAAGCATTTAATTACAACTTCAGTTGATGTCAAACGATTAACTGAAGTAGTCATCGAATTCCCAATATTGACTTAATTTGAGTAAAATACTTGATACTCGGTACTCAGAATAGCATTTGCCCATCTCTGAGGAATATACACTACCGTATCATGCATTGTGTTGATTATTATCTTTTGTTTCATTTAATCAATAAATATTACGTAGTCACTCGGCGAATTAACTTTTTTTTAAATATACATATCATGCTTAAATACTTAAGCGGCTTAGGTCTAATTCTTCTTTTTAGTAACGTTGGTTAGTATTTTTTAATAGTGAAATAGTTCTTTTGAAATGAATGTGAAGAATACTGTTTTACTTTGAGTAACTTGAAATAAACTCTGAGGATTTGTCACAGACAAGACCTTTGGTAGAAATAAAACTCCGATCGAGTTAGTTTTCCTTTGTGGACAATAGAAAAGAAATGGATGAACGGTCCTACCACTATAAAGGCGACTGCGGGCTAGAAAACCAAACAATAGCTTCTGTGAGAAAGGAAAAGGAATAGGAGTCAAGGTCGCTTCTTGTTGGAGAGTTCACTATTTTTACTTTCATTTGTCTCTTGTCTTTCCTTTTTACTTTTTTTTTTTTTATACTTAAAGCCTGAAATTTTCGAAATATTATTGAAAGTAATATAATTATGTATTATATTATCACCTAATTATCTAAGAGAAATTTAAATCGGAGTCGCTTATACTTTATTTAAGATATAGTGAAGTAAATAATTCTGATACATTTATTTATTGACGGTGGCGTTCTTAAACAATTAGAGGCAGCGTGTGCATTTTTGGTGTTCTTTAAAAAATTAAAACCAATACTTTTTCAACAAATCTTTTGGAAATGAAAAACATAAATTGACCATTTTAAAATTTGACTATGCTCTTTAAACATAATTAAGTTTTTTATTTTACAAACTCAATTTAAAAAAAAATATATTATATCGCCAAGTCTAAAAACTAAAAGAATGCCGACAAATTTTAATCAAAACAGTTAATTAAGTTCTCTAATGATAAAAATTAATTTTTATATAAAATAAAATTGTAGAAAGGGAAACCTTGCTGGGAATACTAAGGGGATATGGAGTAAACAATAAACCTGATAAAATGACCCTTACGAACACAAAATCAAAAGTAAAATTCCATAGACTAATCAGCAAATCCTTTCAGGTAAAAACATGATTAAGACAAAGAGATGGCCTGTAATCATCATGAGAGAGTTCTGGAAAATAAATTACGCAGGGGCCGTAGTAAGAACCAGGTAAAAACATATAAAAGTGAGCTGCCTGGCCTTTGCGCCCCTCCAGGCGGAAACAGAGTAAGAGGTAATTAGCCGAATACATACCCTGAAAGAAATAGGAGAAAAAGCAGGCCTAAAAATTTCGTACGAAAGAGGAAGGCTATAGGTTAAGACCCAACCAGGAAATCCACAGGGAGATATAAGAATTAGAAAACGAAATAAGATTCAAAAGACTAAGATTCTACGGGCACACGATAAGAATGGACCAAGGGAGATTAAATAAGAAAGTGTTTGACAGAATCCGCTAATACAAGAACGTAAGAGGATTTGTAAAACAGATTAGAGAGGAAACAGAAAAATTGAAAATAACAGAAAAAGACTGCCTGGATTGAGAGTAATGGGAAAAAAAATGAAATTAAGGTTCTTCTGGAAAATTAAAAAAAAACGGAAGAGTACTGCGTGGACGAAAGAGAGGAAGCAAAGACACTCATAAATGATGAGGAGATACTGGGAGAAGAGAAAAGCGGAAATGAGAAATGAAAAATTATGCTATTCGCTTGGTCTTAAAAATCCATTTCGTAAAAAAAAAATATGTGTTAATTAAAAAAAAATCTTGCTAATGGCAGTAACGTTCTCTGCTGATTAAATAAAAATGATATAATCTTTTTGCAGTAAATCTATTAAATTTTTAAAAAAAGTATTTCAAGTAAGCCACTATTAGTTGAATTTAATCTAAATCTTAAAAAGATGTAAAATAGGACTCCATGTTTTCTGAATTAATGGTATTCTAGTATCTCCAGTCTTTCCAACTTGTAGTTGATCAAAAGAGAGGAGCTGACACATACAGGCATTATGTTTTTACCACGGTGTTGTAGTGCTTTATTTTTGGCGTTTTTGGAGATGCACTTTTTATTGTAGATGATTTCAGTTAACTAATAAAATAGAAAAATCAATATTTTTACCAATAATATTTATCGACGTAAATAAATGTTTATTTGTTGCAAAGTAATAAATTAGTGGGCTTTGAAAACAGCGATCCATGAAGAGGGCGAACCTATTGAGGACTGGGGGTCACATAGTGGACACTCGAGAGGTCAAAGGGACCACAATGGGTACCATACCCGGCCTTTGATCTAGCGAGCCATTAGTCCAGCGCTAAACTCGGGTATACGGAACCTGTCGTCTATACAAACCCTACGTAATTGTACAAAGCGATAGGAAAACATAATGCCATAATGGGCCACGAATTAGTTGACGCTTAGTATTGGACCAATCTTTCATTAGGATTAATTAATAATTTATTTATTTATAACTCCAATTTATATTTGCAACAATGCATATTATTATTCATCATTCTAAATGAAGCCAACGAGTCACTTTCCTTAAGGGCTTAATTTATCCGATTTAAGTCCGGATGATGCATAATCTGAAATATCGGCAACCTCATCAACTGAACACATCGATTGATTACAACTGGAATTCTCTTCCATAGAAACACACCAGAGCAGAGTATATATATAATAAAATATTTGAATGCTTTGGTTTAACTTTTTATTTTAATATATTAATTGTAAGAAGTACTTAATTTGGATTGTGCATTTATTTGGGAATTATATTGAGTCTATTATCATACTCTAAGAAAATATATATTGTTAACGCTATTATGTTTCTTTTCAGGTACGTTTTCGAAGGGGGATACCTGGCACCTGGTTACGACCTGTTCCATTGCGTGGTCAACATCCCCGAAGATGTCATACGGGTTGGAGAGCCTGCGGAAGGTGAGATGGCGGTAATGACTTCAGGAGCGATGGGTCCACTCTACGGTTCTGCCGCAGCCACTCTGGTCGGAAAGGACGAGATGAACGGAAGGATCAATCCTGCGCTTGAGACCGATGATGACGATCCTGCCATCGACTTAGCTGAGATGAAGAAGAGGCAAGCGCAGCAGACGCAACTCTAGGCAAAGGAGCAGGTGCAGGGAGCACAAATCCGTTGAAACTTCCCAGATTTATTTTAATTTAAATATCTTATGATTTCTTAGTATAAGGAACCAATATCTCTGTAAAAAGAGCCAATTTCTTCAGAAACGAGAATTTAATGATCCATAGCTCACTCAACAATTCTTGGTTCTTAGAAAAAAAAAAAAAAATGTAGACACCAGGAATTAAAAGAAGTAATTTTATTTGACGAATTACATCATAAAACATGTCGGATTTATAAAAACTAACTACACAAGACATGGATACAATATATGCCCGAAAACACGTCAAGATTGAGTGAGGGAGCCTGAATAAGGGAACTTTTTTCATTATAACATACAACAAATTCTTACTGATAAACTGACTTGTCATAGACTGTTATAATGAACTTATAACAATAAATAAGAAAAATTCTCTTCATGTCTGTCATCTTGAATGTTTTCATGGCAAGTATATTTAGTCCTAAGGCGGTATTGTATTGGGCCAGCAAAGGATTAAAAATTCCAAAGCTGAGGGATAAAGGTTTATAGTTGAAATTGGCTCTATTTATATTAATTGGTTGTTTTTTTTAACCTCGTTATCTACTTATCTTTCTTTATATAAGAATTTGACCAATTTTGTGTTTAATACGACTTGGACTTGACTAAATATTGAAGTAGAAGGTGAACTTGAATACAAAAGGAATCGCCTTTTTGATTCTCATTTTTTCTGCTTCTTTTCTGTCCCTCTGTCTGAGGTCTTAACTTTCACAAAACATACTATATTTATTTCAACTACAATTACTAATTATTTATTTTATTATATTATTATTAGATATATTTCGCATAATAATAAACTCGAGTTCAGGAAGCAGAAAAAAAAATATGAAAATCTTACGATTTTTTATCTTTATTAGTTATTTAAACTTCTTTCAACGGATAAAATGAACATATCTAAAAAAAATAAAGTAGAGTCTTACTCCCTGCATCTATTTTACCTTAAAAAAATTGATGTTTCCCCTTTAATTAATATCTAACTTTACAAAAATAAGTTTAAAATAAACTTATTCTAGTATTTATGTCTACTACAAAGGAGACGTTTGTTAGACTCAATAAATATTAGCAATAATTTACGGAGCCAAAAAATAATAATATTAAGAACTTTAGTACGATCTAATTTATCAACTCAAATTTTATTTATTTATTCTTGTTTATAGTTTTTTTTTCTCACACTAAATGTGATGAAATCATTTGTTGACAATTGGAATTTCAATATGATTTTATTCAATATAATATTAAATCTTTATGTATATATTTTGGATAGAGGCAACGTTTATTATTATTATTTTAACAAATATAAATGTAGCAGATTTGTTTTTTTATGCTAATACCAGCTAATACAATACAAATAAAAATAAAAATAAATAATAAGTTAAAAAATATAAAATAAAAATCAAGATAAATTTAAAATAAATTTGATTTATTAACACCCGATTGTCAAGAAAATCGTCTTGAATATAAAAATTAAAATTTATCTCTGATATGATTAATTAAAAAAATTCGGTGGAACTATCATTGCATAGACATGACAGTGAATAGTGATACTGTCATACACTTACATTGACTTGTTATCGGTAGAGGAGAGTTGCATGCCACCTCGTTAACAAACTTAAGCACCGACACGAAACTGCATTTATAGTTACAGCATCACCAAATTTGCACTAAAATTGGCCCTCGACGAATTTTGGGACGAGAGCTTGGGGACTATAGAAACATATCAGTTAGTCTTTAGGTAGATAAAAAACAAGAATACATTAGAAATGTATTGAACGTAACATATCAAACTAGAGGCCTAAACCTTCATATTCCAACGTATTATAACAATGTTATTAAATTATATAAAAAATATATTATGTTACATATATTTATGTATTTATTTTAAATCGTGCTTCTTAAGAAGAGTATCTCGTTATCAGTATTATGTGTGATTTGTAATATTAAGTGTTTCTATGCCTTCCCTTTAAAAAAGGCTATTTCTTTACGGCCGTCCTAAGATATGTTAAATTATGTTGGTATGCGATTACCCATAATTTTATTTTATTTTATAATTGTTGCGCTAACCTAGCTTATATTATTTATTAATTGAAAAATAAAAAAAAATGCCTTGAGGCTATATTATGTACAGAGACCGGATTTTTATATAAAATAAATTTTAAAAATCAATTAATTTAGATGTATTCTAAAATAGGAAAAAAAATCTTCACAAAATTTAAATGAAATTAATTAAAAAATAAAGAGGCGTGTGTTTTATTTTCAACTCTTTAATAATAAATCGATTCATATATATATCTATAATTTTCATAAGAAGATTTTTTTAAAACTATTTTTCAAATAAATAATTATGAAGGTTTATTGAACTGCAAGGTTCGACTCAGATAGTATTTTTATATTACATATTTTCTTTGTTTTCATAAAAAAATACTGCATATAAAAATAGTATCAGTGTAGTAGTACAATAACACCTTATAAATAAAATTATTTACTTGAAAAAAAATATACATTATCATTGAAACAGTCAAATAAATGTATTTATGCTGATTTATGAAAAGTGAAAATTATCACAAATATGTAAACATTTGGTCTCTGTTTACGTAATAGGGTGTCGAAAATATTTTTTGAAACGGCCGAAAATACTCAATGAAGACGAATTATAGTGAATTAAAAAAAAAAAAAACACTGATTTTGCTATTAGATGGCTGCCTAGAAACAGTCCTTCGTTTTTTTTGTTTTTTTTTTTGCGACCCAAAAATAATAATTAATTTAAAATTTATTTTGGACACCCTTTAATCGTTTGTATATAAACTAGAAGTCTTTATATGTAGTTGCTGAAATATTGAAAATGTATTATTTTAAAATATTAAAAAAAATTATACATATATAAATATAGTTTTAGATTGTGAATACTGGATATTAGACATTAAAAAATAAATAAAAGTATACACTATAGATGGTACTATTTTAAATATATATATTTCTGTAAAAAATTAAAAAAAGAGTGACAATACCATTAGTACGGGGGTGAATTTCTCTCCAATTAAAAACCCATAATAGTGGTACAGTAAACTTCTCTTATCGGGCGGTGAAGGGGGAAAACGGAAAAAAGAAATCGATTAATTGATATGATTAGAATAATATCGGAATTGAATATGTTTTAAAATAAAAGCAAGGAGAAATCTTTGAAGAAATACAAATAAAATATAAGGTTTATGTATCATTCGATTAAAAAAAATACAGTTTTTAATTTATAGTCGACGTTTAGGCATAACTATATAAGCCATCTTTAGGTTATTAATTTAGGTAAGCGAAAAATATTTAAAGATACAGATTCATAGAAAATAATGAAATTATTTTAGAATAAATAGATTAAATTATTTTTTATTCTTTTCTATGAATAATTTTCATTACCAATCGCAGATAAAACAACAGAACACAGATGGTTGGTCTGAAACGTTGGCTGTAAATTGAAAAAAAAACTTATTTATAATTTTCATTTATTTTGTCGATTGCTTATCAGTTCTACTATTTAAGTATAATATTGTCAAGTGTTCACTTATTGTATATATACATATAATTAAAATAATTTATAAGTTTAATTTAGATAGATATTGATAAGATAATTGATAAGTTAATATTTATTTTATTTCAAGAAATTTGATTTTTTTTTAATATAAAATTAAAAACATTATCCTCAGATTCCGTCAGCTGAACGCCAGCCAGATAAGAGCTGGTTTACTGAATATGTAAATAGTGGTAGTTTAGTTGGAGTGTTAAATTAAGCTAAATTTATTTACTATTATTTTATTTTTTATTTCATTGAGTGTGCCAACATTTTATTTGAATTGTTAATAAGAAGGATGAAAAAAGGCAGTCATAGAGACTATAAATTTAATTTTGAGTGTAAATAGCGTTATGGAGTACTTGATAGATTTTAGCACAATTGTTTAAATGATAGGCGCACATGAATGAACGTAGTATCCAATTGTAAATGTTGCTATCTTCGATTTTATCGTTGTCTATAATAAATTATTTATCTTTCCGATGAATAAAAAAAAGATATTCTATGAAATGTTAAAAATCTATTGATGTTGTCAACTTTTTTCTCATGTGTTGTGGATCGGTTGCTGTTCAAGGTGATACGTTTGTTATTTTGTGAAATGTTTATTGAAAAGGAATAACTGGTTTACAAACATCTCGATGTTATCAAAATTTTTCTGTGGTGTCTTCTATTGTTTTTAATGTAAAGAAGTGTTTGAAAAACCTCTGGTCACTTATACTTTAATTGAAAAGTGTTTATTACTTTAAATTTAAGTGTAAGATTGTTTTATTGAGAAAAAAAATTAAATGTGTTTAGTGTGCATATGTTATAGATGCTTTTGTAAAAAAAAGAAGTTGATTTGTTAAATAGTGTTATTCGATGTTAGTAAGCTTTGTTAAATTTAGAAATTATTAATAAAACAGTCAAAAAAGAAATTTCCAAATTACTAAACAACGAAATTTAAGAAATGTTTAGGAAATTTTTCTAATTTGACTTGTTCAATCAGACTTATTTAAAAACCGCATACATATCACTTAAAGTGTCACTTATAAATTACTGTATATCTCAAGTTATAGTTGTGTGTATATAAGTGTTCTCTAAGTGTTTAGAAATATATAAGAAATTTTATGTGAAACATAACAATGTTATAAAGAATGAGCAGGCAATAAAATATACCATAGACCATTTCTTCATTAAGACCCAAAACTTCGAAATATAGTTTATAAGGAGAACAATAATAAACCATTTACATAAAAAAGATTTAATACACATCATAGGAACATGAAGCCAACAAATACAATTTCTATTATTCTTACAATGAAGGTAACTTTTACAAATATACAGTATAAAAAACTTAAAAATAATTGTACAGATATGACAGAATGTCATGGATATTATATAATATTAATTACACTATATCTAAGAGTTTAAAATAAATTATATCATGTTTAGTGAATAGAGCAGAAATATGATAGTTGGTAGCATTTGCTAGGAGCAACATTTACATTAACATTACATAACCTTGATTATATTATAATCATTATCGACATATGTTTTTGCACATGTAGTATGATTTTGATTTCGGTTATTACAGCAAGAATCAAGAATTGAAAAAATATTTTATTTACATCTACTCTCTATTCCTTTTTATTCAAAACTTTGTCATTTGGCACAGAAACTATTCAATTCTTTGCAGCATTTCACAGTTCGTTGCCTCTCACTGAAATAAAGCTGGTTTTATAAATGTTTTTACAAAAGGAAAGAGATAGATACATTTAGATATAAATAAATTAAATGGCCCACATTTTCGCATGTGTATAGCAGACTCAACGAACAACGATTTAATAAGAATATCCACCATTGCTAGCGTATTGTTGACCACCTCCAGAGGACGGGCCGGATGGGTATCCACCGGCGCCTCCTTGACCGCCACCTCCTTGAGTGGCACCTCCTTGACCGGCACCTCCTCCACTACCTCCTTGGAATGTTTGGGATGGAAGTCCAAAGCTGATGGACGGCACAGGAGGGAAGACTTGAACGCTCTGACCTGCGAATTTTCCACCGGATCCGCCGGACCCTCCACCAGGAGCACCATAAGACCCAGAAGGTGCAGGAGCAGCACCACCACTGTATCCACCGGAAGATGCACCGCCACCACTATATCCACCGGCAGAAGCACCACCACTACTGTATCCACCGGATGAACCACCACCACTGTATCCACCGGAAGAAGCACCACCACTGTACCCACCGGAAGAAGCACCACCACTGTATCCACCGGAAGAAGCACCACCACTGTATCCACCGCTTGAAGCACCGCCACTGTACCCACCGGATGAAGCACCGCCACCACTATATCCCCCGGTTGAGGCACCACCACTGTATCCACCGGATGAAGCTCCGCCACCACTGTATCCACCGGAAGATGGCGCACCATAACTGCTAGAAGGAGCAGAAGCACCACCACTGTAACCACCGGAAGAAGCACCGCCACCGCTGTATCCACCAGAAGAAGCTCCGCCACCACTGTATCCACCGGAAGAAGCTCCGCCACCACTGTATCCACCGGAAGATGGTGCACCATAACTGCTAGAAGGAGCAGGAGCGCCACCACTGTAACCACCGGAAGAAGCACCGCCACCGCTGTATCCACCTGAAGAAGCACCGCCACCACTGTATCCACCGGAAGATGGTGCACCATAGCTGCTCGAAGGTGCTGGAGCACCACCGCTGTAACCTCCGGATGAAGAACCACCACCGCTATATCCGCCAGATGAAGGAGCACCATAGCTGCTTGAAGGCGCTTGAGCACCACCGCTATATCCGCCGGAAGATCCGCCACCTGATGAAGGTGCTCCGTAGCTACTGGAAGGCCGGGAACCGCCTGAAGGTCCTTGAGGAGCGCCATATGATGAAGATGGTCTTGACGGAGCACCGTATCCCGAAGAAGGCCTTTGAGCACCACCACCGAATCCACCTGTTTGACCTCCAAAACCACCAGAAGAAGGTGCTCCATAGCCGCTCGATGGCCTTTGTACAGGAGCGCCGTAACTGCCAGATGGAGCGCCACCAGATGGAGCACCATAACTACCAGAAGGAGCGCCACCACTTGGGGCACCATAGCTGCCTGAAGGAGCACCACCCGAAGGGGCACCATAACTTCCTGAAGGAGCACCACCTGATGGGGCACCGTAACTACCAGAAGGAGCACCGCCAGATGGTCTTTGGGCAGGGGCACCATAACTTCCCGATGGAGCACCACCAGATGGGGCACCGTAACTACCAGAAGGAGCACCGCCAGATGGTCTTTGGGCAGGGGCACCATAACTTCCTGATGGAGCACCACCAGATGGGGCACCGTAACTACCAGAAGGAGCACCGCCAGATGGTCTTTGGGCAGGGGCACCATAACTGCCAGAAGGTGCACCACCAGATGGGGCACCATAACTTCCTGAAGGAGCACCTCCGGAAGGAGCACCGTAACTTCCTGACGGAGCACCGCCAGAGGGAGCACCATAACTTCCAGAAGGAGCGCCACCAGATGGAGCACCATAACTTCCAGAAGGTGCACCGCCAGATGGAGCACCGTAACTACCTGAGGGAGTGCCTCCAGATGGAGCCCCATAGCTACCCGATGGTCTTTGGGCAGGGGCACCATAATTACCAGATGGAGCACCACCAGATGGGGCACCGTAACTTCCAGAAGGAGCGCCACCAGAGGGAGCACCATAGCTTCCAGAAGGAGCACCACCAGAAGGTGCGCCGTAACTTCCAGAAGGTGCACCACCAGATGGAGCACCGTAACTTCCTGATGGAGCACCACCAGATGGAGCACCGTAACTTCCTGATGGAGCACCACCAGATGGAGCACCATAACTTCCTGATGGAGCACCACCAGATGGTGCGCCGTAACTTCCAGAAGGTGCGCCACCAGATGGGGCACCATAGCTAGAAGATGGTCTTTGTGCAGGTGCTCCATAGCTGCCAGAGGGTCTTCCACCACCTGATCCACCTTGCGAAGGTGCACCATAAGATGGAGAAGGTGCTCCCTGGGATGGGGCACCGTACCCTGAGGAAGGCCTCTGGACAGGACCAGTCGGGACTGGAGCCGGTCCAGCAGGTACACCATAGCTCGTAGCGGGTGGCGAAACAGGGCCGGAAGGAAGGCCTACCGAAGGTCGGGGGTAGTTGTATCCTCCGCCACCTCCTCCAAGGGGAGCTGAAAGGAAACAAGTTATTTTAGATGGTGCATACTTTTAATGTGGGTAAGATAAAAATAAAAAACAGACAACTTAAAGCCCAAAGTTCTTAAACGTGCAATCCTTTTACCTATTATTCAATTCAAGGTATGCTAAGCTGTTGGTAGTCAGTTAAAGTGTGGAAAACATGCAGGTATCATATAAAATGAATCAACAATGTCTTCTTGATTTATTTTTCACAACTTTTTTGATAGTCGTGAAGAAAAATTGCAAAATATGTAAGACTTAGCATAAAGAGTACATGATAATTATTGTTATTCATTATTTTCCTGTTGGTATCTTCCCAACTGATTTTATAAGTATTATAAATTATTTTAATAATATCATTCTAGAAAGGAAAAAGAAATGAGACTATTTGGTCCTGACAATTTGGTAAAATATTTACATATTTCAATCATATATAAACATTTACTTATCAAACTTTTATTATCCTCACTTATTTACCATAATTATCCTTGCCTTTCATTTTTATTTTAAAATTATCATCTTATGTCTGACAAATGTCAACGAAATTCTACTTTTCCATTATTCTTAGCATGCTTAGTCGTTCCTCGAGCTACACTTTCACTCAAAAAGAAAAAGAGCACTTGTAGCTCAATTGCAAAGGACCCCTTACAAACAATTTGATTGCTTTAAAATAACGTTTTTATTGTTAATTGAAACAGTTACTTCCTTTAGTTACTAGATGCTCGATACACTAACGCGTTTACCTGCCATTATTTAAGAAGAATGGTCACCGCAATAAAATTGGATCCAATGAGTATTTTTTTTTCATTCAGTTTTATCGAAGTATTCCTTTTTACTGGAACGTCATTAGAGGAAAGACTATTCATATCAACCTAAGTGATTCAGAACTAAGTTATATTTTTCTTTCTTCAAAAGTTCTCTTTTTGTTTCAATAATCTTGTATGTCGAACTACTCATTCTATTTCAGATGAAACAAGTGCATAAATAAGGTGTTGTATACACAAATCTATTAACGAAAAAATGTTCTTTGACAACGATCTTGGTTACTTAAAAAAAAAACATAAAAATATGTTTAAAGATGAAAACTCAAACGCAGAAAGTTCGCAGACATCTGTAGAAAGTGCATTTCTTCGAATAGGACAAACTGCACTGCTTGGAACTGAAAAGCTACACCGAGAAAGGAGAAAACACCACCTTGCTCATCTGTCAAAGGAGCATGACTATCGACTCGATAAAGCGCTAAGATATCGATAATGGGCTCAACGAACTAAGAGAGGACGCCCAAGGTCGGAGCGCGGTAGAACAAGTGGCTGATGTAACGGCAACTTTCGCCGCCGAAGGTGAAGGCAACGGAACCGTTCGAGGCGCTCAAGATCCAACCGGAACCTCCAATTAGGCATGGAGTGAAGGATTCGGTACCCATTTACAGAACGTTATTCTGAATGGTTGGAATATCATGGCCAAGTTAATGTGGAATGAAGTTCAAACACTAGTTCGTGTTGCTTATATAAGTTGTTGAAGTGGAAACTTCCTCAGTACTCTATTTTGTGGTTATTGAATGAGTCTGAGCTACGTTTGGCCTGTGTAATGCTCATTCGGGTAAAGTTGGCTCTAGACGACTAATTTTTACATTTGGATTAAAATATGTCAGAAACTAAAAATCGGACCTGCATACTGCAAGAAAGAGAAATGTATTTTATCCTCTTTGTGATGAATTCTTATTCAAAATTGTATAATTGAGTTAGAGAGACGAAAAGGGAAGAAGATAAAAAACAAAAAAAACAAAACAAATAATAATGACTGCTAGAACCATCGAGTATTTAGAAACTAACATTCAGAAGTCAACATTGATATTTTCTTTTAATTAGCCTTAAAAATTATGAAATCAGAAATTAAATGTTTCTATTCGATTTTCCGTTGGATTCGATAGCGTTTCGACAAATAGCTGACTCACGTTGTAGAAATTTTATTTAAAAAATGCGTAATTGTCTTATACTAATTGACGTCTCATTTTATACGAATGTTTATGTTGTGTAGAGATTGTTTATGTTTTTACTGCTATTGGGAAGTGTTAAGCACACAACGTAGTTTTTTTATATACATTATGTTCTAAAAAAATATTTACGATATCTCTAAACAACATAGAATTCCGCAAAGTTCAAAAAGTATCTTTGCAAAGTTAATAATAAAACTCGAAATGTTTTAAAGTATGCTGGTTAAAATAGCAGTTCATGAAAACTGAAAAAAAAAATGTTGGAAAGGGAAATAGGACAATATGAATTGAAATGAGGAACTGAAATTTTACGTAATACATAACAAAAAAAAAAAAAAAACACAATAAATACGAGACTTTGAAGAAATATGAATATAAGTAAATAAATAGACATTATGAAAAACAGCAAAAAATTAGAGAAAATAGGTATTGTGTTATTGTGTCTCAGATCCACAATACAAAGAAAAAAAATCGGTGCCACAACAACCGATGGAGATAGGGTTCAATAATTTATAAGGGAGTACTGTTTAAAAGACGACGTTTATGGGCCGAGATCACGCCCGATTATCTTGCCTTTAAAGAATCTATTTAATTAAGAGTAATCGCTTTATAGAAACTCCAAGGATTGTCTCCTAAATCCCAGAGTCGATCCAAGGGTCATATACCAGAATAAATAATTACCTATCAAAGCCGAAATTGAACCCGAGACCTTAAGCATAGGAGAACTCTGCCTGACTCATTGAGTGTTTTTTAATGAAATAAGTGAAATTTATAAGAAAAGAGATGTTATTTCTCTGTCGTAAAACTCGGTTCGCGTCCATTGTTTTCAGGAATGCAAATGAGAATAGTCAAAGAAGTTGAACGAAGATGATGGAGGCATGTACCACCTCAGATAGGAATAAAGAGCTGTCGCGACTACTATAAAATGCTTCCATTATAAGCAAAATGTCAGGCAAGACGTATATGGAAGAACTGTGTTGCGTCTGACCTTTTAGATTAAGATTTTAGTGCAGTTAAGTTGATAGAGCTTGTTTGGCTTTATTACTTCCAAATGTAGTGCTATTATTTAAATTTAGGATAGTATAAGTTAACAGTTCCTCAAGATTACATTATCTGCTACACTAGTTGCTACCAATTCTTCGGCTTTCTCCCAACAGATCTGATAAAATAATTATACTAACAGAGAAAGTTGTTCCGTTTGATAGTTACATTTTTCCTGCACGAAAAGAATCATAAGTTATGTATGACTGAAGGTGAGTTAGGAATTACCAGTCATCTTAAATAAAAACAGCTTCTTTAGGCAAAGCAATGGTATTACAGAGGTAACGTTCACTAGTGAGAGCAATTTGGAGCTTTCACTCCTAAAAGCTTTCTTAAAAAAGAAATTTTTAAAATTTATTAGGATATAGCGACCAAGAATTATTATCTTCGATATCGGCTAAACATTACAAGTAGAAGAGACTAGATATGAATATAGCAGTTATACATTATAAATCTTTATCTCGATAATTAAATTGTATATACGTTTACACTAGAATCCCGTTCGAGAACTCATTATAAATCATTATTAAAAAAACGGTTCTTGAGGAGATTTTTGACAAGGCTTATGATTTATCTGATTTGTCAACTTCACAAAAATGGGAGTTTTGAAACATCCATTTTTTTTTTAAATGGCTTTCATTAAAGTTGTATGGATTAAATGTATTTGATATTATAAGACTGAATACGGTTTTAAATACCTTATATGTCATAAAAACCACAAACGCACAGTTGTATGTAAAAACCAAAAGTAGACAATTCGTTCTCAACGTTAAAAAAGAAATGAGGATACAATTAAACGGAGACTTAAAAAAAAATATTCTATTAAATATTTGTGATAAGTTCAGTGATGGAACCATGGAAGTGGAAAATGGAGAAATATTCCTTTCCAAAATAACTATTGAAAAAAAATACGGCTGTTTGTCTACTAGTTTTTGTCATAATTTGTCTACTAGTAACTCTGAAAAAAAATATTATTTATTAGGTAAGGAAACATTTAAAGAAAATTAAACATCTTGTACGAAATCGATTCCAGCAAATCTATGAATGAAATTAATTGCTTATATCTACGACAATAGATTTAAACTACCTCGAGATATGAAATAATTTTATAATAGATTTATTACAATATCTTCCATAAAGGGGTAATTATTTCGCTCAAATTTTGTAGTTCTGATATTCCAGATCGGAATTGATCCTAGACTCTTGAGAGTCTCCCACCCAAAAAAACAAAACAAATCCGACTTATGATAGCTTCTTGGTTATGCCGAAACAAGGACTAGTGAAAACAACTAGTTTATTATATATATATATATATATATATATATATTTTTTTTTTTTTTTTATCATAACTACTGTTTGATTTTTAAAAAAATCTCAGTTAGGTATGATTAATTTGAAAAACAAATGGTTTCGAGGGATCAATTCAAACGTAAATAATCCGTAAGGAAGTCGAACATCGCATTCGATCGTGAATGAACAGTTCACAGACACGGCGACCTCTGAGGTCGGTGGAGTGGTGGGGGATTTAACGATCCCAAACTCTACGTCTATATTTAACTCTTACTTTCCCTGACGATATTACCACATATCGAACGGGACACGGTTTTATTGCTCGAAATTCATTACTGCTCATATTTAAAAAAAGAAAAAAAAAAAACAGTTTTCACTTTCTCGTTTCCTGTAAATGTCGGATATAAATTAAAACGTGATTCGTTTTAAATACCCTTTAAATCTTTAATAACATTTTGTGAAAAAGCAACGATTGTTTATTGCATATGCCTCATAAGGATGGAACATTGGAAATAAGTTTCGATTTCATAGTAAGCACTGTTCAGTTATTTTAGAAAAATATACTAAATAGTAGATTTATTATGAATAAATGAAAAAATATTTTTATTCTGAGGCATTTATTCCAATGAAGACGATAGGGTAATGAGTGAATTAAATGTGGCATTTGAAAATAAGATCAGTATTTGCCATGCAAAGTCCATTAAAGGTTATGTAAAGCGGTACAAAAGCTTAAAAAATAATGTATTCTACTGGATTCGAACCTGAATGACACCAATGAAGGTAGTTCCAGAGATATTTCATATTATTCAAACAATTTTTAAAATTTATATAAGAAATATGCCATTCGTTGAGGTATTTATTTTCATTTATATTCTTAAAACCAATTTAAATTTAATTTTTATAATTTAAAAAAAATAATTATATCAGTAACTTATGGACAATAAGTTGTAGTTTTGATTACAATCATACCATGAAAACGGACATAAAATCAAACTAAAATATGTTTACAATATCTGAAGTAATATAGCTAGTTTTCCAAATGTCATATTTTACCAAACATACCGGAAGCTTCTGCCGTTTTAATCGTCAAAGAGGATTATATGGATATATATAGGAATTGAGATCCAGGATTTGGGTTGTCGAAAAGGTTTTGATGGAATTTTAAAAATCCATGAACTTTTAATAATTCATAAAGTTGAGAAACATGGATAAAGGTTCATTCGCAAAATGGATTAATAAGCGACAACTCAGAATGAACAATATTCATCTCGTATTTGATTGAGTTTATGGAAAAATAACGAATTGAAGAAAATGCCATTACGAAGAAGTATTCAAATCACCTTTATAGGATAATACTTGTGGTTTTATGTATTTATTTATCGATTTTCCTCTATCCTTGAGGGCCATTGACGTTTAAAAATAAAATTATATATTCAATTGTGGAAGCTTTTTTTAAATAAGCAAATAGTTTTTTATTTCTTTTTCATCAACCTGAAGTATTTTTTAAATTGTTTTCTTCATTATTAGATTTTGCCTTAGGTAAGTGTAGTTAGTACGTTCAATTGTACTCGCTTTACTGTTCAAAAAACTTCGAAATGAGTGAACTTCGGAGCTTCCAATTATCGAAACACCAGAAGTTACCCGGGGAAAAAAATCTACATACGTTGTTCTTTAGTTTGATGTTTTTCATCGAGTACACTTCTTCTTAATTTCCTTAAGTTTAGCTAAACTCATATCCCATTTAACTAATTTTTTCTGAAAAGAAGAGACAAGTTGATGTGGTCTAGACTTCTCTAGGGATGATAGTATCTTTAGTAATTCTTATACAGGTTTTAAATGGTCAGTAATCATTTTTAGAAAAATTCGTTTATCACGAACTGTCTACCTTTTCAATTTGAAGGAAAAAAAGGAAAGATCGTGCAACTTTTTATCCCACCTTCACCCCTTCGTTGTTTCTTTTCCATTTAATTGATATCCATGCCTAATGCCAAGGCTAAATTGGAGGGATCCCCAAACACATGAAAACCCAAAATTACGTTGTGATGTGTTCGTTCTAACACCTGATTCTTACAATGT